TATAGGAAAATTCTGAATTTGGGTTGACCAATTTTTTAAATATCAAAAATATGGGGTTGTAACCTGGGTTGTAAGGAGTGGGTTGCACCTTACACAGCCTCTCCCACTCAAATGCCAAACCTCCCTTCACGTGATACAACCTGTTTTCACTGATGAGGATATGGCGACCGAGGAACTTCCGTCAACTCTATACCAAGCGCCAATGGTCCCTTCGGGGGGCCGATGAGTGGGTAGAAGGAAGGGCACTCTGTTGTCCCAAGTGTTGCAAAATGGCCCCCAAAGGAAGGTATCAAGACAAACGGGAAACCAACGGGAGACCACCCCATTAAAAACCCTAGTGGTACTTCCGTGGAAGTAGGTAATGGACGAGTATACATTTATTTAGTATGGATTCCCCGAAAGCTAAATACTGCGGAGTTACAATAGTTTATCATTAGGAGGAGGCAGTATTCAAAGAACCCTACAAAAAGTGCAAAAGGCAGACTGAGAATAGAGAAACGTTAGATCGCAAATAGAAGCAGAAAAGTTAGAAAACATGAAAAGAGAAATGGAACGAAATAGATTGGGTATTATTGGAGTAAACGGAATAAGGTGGAAGGAAAGTGGGCTGATACAAGAAGACGGAATGATGTTTTACTACAGCGGAGATATGAAAGGGAAAAATATAATGGGAATTTTGGCCAATGAAGAAGTCTCGGAAAGTATGGATAAAGTATTTTGCGAAGGAGAAGTTGCAATGAAGGATCCTGAAACTACAGAAGAAAAATGAAAAATGCGATAATCATAGTGGCTGAGGAGGTAGAGTATAGGAAATGAAAAGGAGCAAAGAAGGCATGGATAACAGGCGAGGGGGCAATTGCTGCTAAATGAATGTAAGGAGGTAGAAAAACTTGATCGAATAGGAAGGCACGATATCGTGTTCAACAAAGTAAGAATAAAGGACAAAGGAAAAACTCAAAGTAAGATTGGCATCGAAAGCGAGGATAGAAAGGTGCTAACAGAGGATAACCAAGTACTGAATAGATGGAAAGAATATATGGAAAAGTTATACAAAGCAAATGAGAAACCTAAACGAATAAATATAGAAAAGCAATAGGAAGCATCAGGGGAACATAACGGTGGGAGTACTTTGATGTCAGCAATACAGGAAGCTATGAGAGATATGAAGCATGGTAAGACTGCTGGGATAGACAGGATACCGGTTGTGTTTAGAAGAGGATTCAGAGAAAGAGGGAATGAGGAGGATTTGTGTAATAAGAATTACGAAAGTGGAGTGTTGCCCGAAGATTTTCTTAGAACCGTTATGATACCGGCTCAGAAAAAGAAGGGAAAAAGAAATGCAACCACAGTAGTAAGAACAATAATAATAGGAAGGCACGATATCGTGTTCAACAAAGTAAGAATAAAGGACAAAGGAAAAACTCAAAGTAAGATTGGCATCGAAAGCGAGGATAGAAAGGTGCTAACAGAGGATAACCAAGTACTGAATAGATGGAAAGAATATATGGAAAAGTTATACAAAGCAAATGAGAAACCTAAACGAATAAATATAGAAGAGCAATAGGAAGCATCAGGGGAACATAACGGTGGGAGTACTTTGATGTCAGCAATACAGGAAGCTATGAGAGATATGAAGCATGGTAAGACTGCTGGGATAGACAGGATACCGGTTGTGTTTAGAAGAGGATTCAGAGAAAGAGGGAATGAGGAGGATTTGTGTAATAAGAATTACGAAAGTGGAGTGTTGCCCGAAGATTTTCTTAGAACCGTTATGATACCGGCTCAGAAAAAGAAGGGAAAAAGAAATGCAACCACAGTAGTAAGAACAATTGCAGAGAGATATATAAGAACGAAGAAGAACTATAATCTGTGTCTGGAGGCATTCTCGATTGTGTGAAATACGGAAAACTGTTACAATTTTTAAGGGACAAGGGGTGTGGATTGGAGAGAAAACAGATAGATTAGCAACTCGTGCACGTTATAGCATTACTGAAGGGTTTGGAATATGAAGAGGAGTTAGGCAGGGATGTTGTCTATCACCAACTTTAATTAATTTCTATATGGGGGGTATGATGAGGAAGTGCTAAGAAAGGAATATGGGAGGAAAAATAGGTGGTAGAAGGTCAGTCTGGAATTGAATGAAATGTTAAAACGACTAAAAGAAATGGAAGACCCGTATGGATTGAGAACCACAAGAAGTCGCAGGTAAGTAAAGTTGGAGCAGAGAAAGTAGTACATGTAAAGGGCGCTAGCTCGAACGTAAATACTTAGGCACAGTAATATCAGACGATTAGTCGAGTAAAAAGGAGATAATGATAAGAATTGGAATGGCCAAGCGTATATGAAAAAGAGAGTGGTGCTTAATACTAAGATGGATGTAGAATTGAGAAAAAGACTGGTGCAATCTTTAGTATGGAGTGTTCTTTTGTATGGGTGTTAGGTATGGACATTATATAAAAGATAATTGGAAAGATTACGTTTAAATGATGTACAAACAACCCCCCAATTGCATTCTAAAGATAAAATCGTTCCCCGTTCCCAAGCTTCATATTTTGAAGATAATTCTCCTATGCATGTATAGCAATTCTCAATTGCGGGGGTTGTAACTTTTGTGGTGTACGAAATATTTTTGTTTCTTTCACCGATTACGTTTAAATGATGTACAAACAACTCCCCAATTGCATTCTAAAGATAAAATCGCACCCCGTTCCCAAGTTTCATATTTTTAAGTGGTGCACGAAATATTTTTGAAGATTGGGATACTAGATCAAAAGTTACAGCCCTTTGAATTTTTTTTCAAAATTGGTTTCTAGTCTATAACTTTTGATTGAGAAGTCTAATCGGAAAAGTACGAATTGATTTGAATTCTACGCGCCAAAATTGTCTCAGATAGACCCGGAAAAAATTTCCTTATAGAATGTGGCCTGTAGAATCCATAATTTCAAACAGTTCCAAGATTGGGCTACTAGTTCAAAAGTTACAGCCCTTTGAATTTTCTTTCGAAATTGGTTTCTAGTCTATAACTTGATTGAGAAGTCTGATCGATAAAGTACGAATTGTTTTGGATTCTACGCGCCAATATTAATAAGAAAAAGTGTTTTCGCGAGAAATTTTGGTGCAGTCAATTTTTGGTAAAAAAGGAAGGTTGTACACTGCCTTTTTTTGAGGCTCGAAGAAGAAATTGTCTCAGATCGACCCGGAAAAAAAATTTCTTATAGAATGTGGCCTGTAGAATCCATAATTTTAAACAGTTCCAAGATTGGGCTACTAGTTCAAAAGTTACAACCCTTTGAATTTTCTTTCGAAATAATTGGTTTCTAGTCTATAACTTTTGATTGAGAGTGTAATCGAAAACGTACGAATTGATTTGGATTCTACGCACCAAAATTGATAACAAAAAGTGTTTTCCCGAGAAATTTTGGTGCAGTCGATTTTTGGTAAAAAAGGAAGGTTGTACACTGCCTTTTTTTGAGCCCCGAAAAAAGAATTGTCTCAGATCGACCCGTTCCCAAGTTTCATATTTTTAAGGAAATTCTCTTATGCATGTATAGCAATTCTCAATTGTGGGGGTTGTAACTTTTGTGGTGCACGAAATATTTTTGTTTCTTTCACCGATTACGTTTAAATGATGTACAAACAACCCCCCAATTGCATTCTAAAGATAAAATCGTACCCCGTTCCCAAGCCTCATATTTTGAAGATAATTCTCCTATGCATGTATAGCAATTCTCAATTGCGGGGGTTGTAACTTTTGTGGTGCACGAAATATTTTTGTTTCTTTCACCGATTACGTTTAAATGATGTACAAACAACCCCCCAATTGCATTCTAAAGATAAAATCGCACCCCGTCCCCAAGTTTCATATTTTTAAGTGGTGCACGAAATATTTTTGAAGATTGGGATACTAGATCAAAAGTTACAGCCCTTTGAATTTTTTTTCAAAATTGGTTTCTAGTCTATAACTTTTTATTGAGAACTCTGATCGAAAAAGTACGAATTGTTTTGGATTCTACGCGCCAAAATTAATAAGAAGAAGTGTTTTCTCGAGAAATTTTGGTGTAGTCGATTTTTGGTAAAAAAGGAAGGTTGTACACTGCCTTTTTTTGAGCCCCGAAAAAACAATTGTCTCAGATCGACCCGGAAAAAATTTTCTTATAGAATGTAGCCTGTAGAATCCATAATTTCAAACAGTTCCAAGTTACCATTGTATTTATAAAAGAAAATACAATGGTATTCCTAAAATAAAACATTTAATTCAGTCATTAGTATGTAATTTGTTACTTTTTATGGTTACCGCATCAAACACGCAAAATCACACATTTCTTACATTATAATGACACGACCTTGCCAAATTCATTAATGTTAATTACCTCGGAGGTATACCAAATTTTCACATACAACAATGGCTGGTAAAATATTTAAAATGATAGGTCTACATTGGTAGGGGTTGGTTAGAATCTTATGTCGCGTGGCGATAATTATAAAATTTAATCTTAAACTTTACGACTGTTGGTATCTACCGGTAATTAACGGTAACGGTAGATAACCCGTTATGGGTATTGCAAAAATACAAAAACCTTGATTAGATACCTAAATCGTGACAGTTTCAGCGTATAAGTAAGTAAATGAAACGTCACACAAATGTATTAAAATTATAATTTGTTAATAATTAACGTAACGGAATTCTCCAAACATTATATTTTCAACAAATAACATAATCAAAGCGTTGAGATATTGAAGTCCATGGCCATTAAGTCGGTCATTTGGAACTGTAATTAAACGCGCTCTTACTTTTCCTGTGTACAGGTATAGGAAATACTATTGGTATTGACCTTCCGTCTCTTTTTTAGAGGTAAATGTAAATTTGACCTTTGGCTGTTTAACTAAAGCGCAACATTGTTTATTTTCGATTTCGATAACGAATATCACCTATTGCCTACTAACACACTTCAAATTCTTCAGATGAGTTCAACCAATTACCAAAGGACTGTAGGACTTACCGGTGCCAAAGGCTAAAGAATTTTTCCAATAGCCCAAACTTATCACGAGGAAAAATAAACCGCACAACTTCATCGTTATTGTTGCACTATATCATAACGGGAAACACTAAAATTTATTTCGTTTCGGCAACTGTTCATCGCACACGAAAGCGTATACACGATTAAAGAAAAACAACAAACACATTCGCATTACTAAAACTGTATAACTGGAACTTGTAAAGGCCACGAGAGTAATGTTTATCATTTATCCATTACCACTTTCAGATAAATTCAGATTTTTGGCTCTCGGTCTTGCCTATACTTTCGTTAATATCTCCAAATCTTGAATTGTTAGTGTCTCAAAAACTTGATGTTCACTAAGTAGTCACCTGATCGCAATCATGTATTTAAATTAGTTAAATTCCAATGTCCGCCGAATTTGGGAATTGTGACGTCGGTAGGTACATCATTGCCAACAACCATATTTACCACATTTTAGGTAAAGGGATTGTGGTCTTCTCCAAACAAGGAAATTTTTGACAAGGGCTACGACTAAAAACGTACAATTGGACACAATACATTTAGATCATCAAATGACTTTCTTGAATGGAGCATGAGTGGCGAAAATGAGACGTAGGTTGCTGGAAGACTCAGTTTTGGTAGTTGATTGACTTTGTCTTTAATTTAGCAGCAGTGGATTAATCATTAATGAAACGAGGGTTGCCTATTAGTGTGAAAACGGTTTTGGAACGTAGCAAATTTATAGCATCGCAGGTGAAATCTTCAAGCACGACAGACGACTACCGCCAACTAAGTAGTAACAAAGAAGTGTTTTCAAACACAAAACTTCGGTGGTCCACTACTCCCTACAACAATCATGATCAAAATGACTTTAATGAGAAAGAATCATTGTAACCGCGATTACCAATCAAAGTATCCTCAAAATGATCGAGAAACTTTTTGAGCAATATTCAAGGAATTTGGTCCTTTCATGCTCGATTTATTGCGGATTATGCACAGACAAACATTGTTGAAATAATTGCAGCCATCATAGGATGTCCATCAATGGTTAGCTTTTCGACTTGCAACCCGAAGTGTTGGGGTTAAAACTAAAGCTTTAGAAATTTATTCAGAAGCAAATGTGTCTTAAAAACCTTCCGTGTATTAAAAATAACGATTTACGAAAAGCGCATTTCCACATTAACAGTCTTTGTCCCAAAACATTTGTTACTCTTTGACACGTGATTTCAATTTGCTTTTATATGAGCATCATCCCCCTCAAATTGCAGGAGAATTGGGTCATAAATAATTTTATTGCGCTTTTTAGAAAGTACTTCCCCTTAAAACTTAAAAAAAAACCGCTCATAATTAAGAAAATGGAGTCTGCGCATGCGCAATCTACTGTTTCAAAAAGTGCACATACTAAATAATGACCCAAAGGGTTAACCGTGGTTTCCAACAGAACCAACTCTATTTTCCTTAATCAAATTGTGGGTTTCTTTGATTCGCTACACTAATTTTGACTAATCAAAAATCAAAATGCAACAAACGTATAAAATTTATAAGCACAATAAATCGCAATAGCTAAAATTATGATTAGCGAAAATAGATATATTCAATGAGTAAAGGAGATCATATTTACCGATTCGTCAAAATCTAGAAATGGAGTGGGATGTGCGATCACTTCGCAGGTGACAAATAAATGGAGTTTGAATCCACAATCGCCCATAGGATTCGCAGAAAGATAAACCAACTGGAAAGCCCTTCAGCACTGCTCCTCGATCTATGAAACTAAAAGATTTATCATTGCAAGCGATAATATAAATGCCCTAACAGACTTACCGCAAATTGACTACCTATACGACAATATTTTAACAAAAGTGTCCAAATCAGAACTGTGGTACCTAAACAAGAAAAATAAATCCATTATTTTCATTTGGGCACCAGGACAGACACGCGGGTATACTTGGTAATGAGCTTACAGACAGAACAGCACGAGAAGCTTCCGCAATAATCGGATTATTTATAATTTTTTATATTATATTTATATATATCTATTACATATAATCGTAACGTATAATGTACATCGTAAATTTTAGACCTAGTTGCTTAAGCTTCATTAATATATGCGTTTTCCAGGTTAATCTGATGCGGTCCAGATACATACCTAGGTACTTAGCTTGCTGTTGCTGCTGTATCGGATAGTTGTTCAGTATTGCTGTAAGAATTAATACAGAAGAAAAAATGCCTAAAAAGCGTGTATGAAACGCCATTTCATAACTCGCACATCTTGTAGATTCCTGAAACAAATAAAACATAAAAGCTTTAGAAATTAATGCAGAAGAAACTATTCCTAAAAGGGGTGTATAAAAGGCTTTTCCATAAGTGTCGCATCACGTAGATTCCTGAAACAAATAAAACAGAAAAGCATTAGAAGTTAATACATAAGAAAATTATGAGTATGAAACCCGTATAAAACACTTTTCCATAAGTCGTACATTTCGTAGGTTTCTCAAACAAATAAAACGGTAAAGCTTTAGAAATTAATGCAGAAGAAACTATACCTAAAAGAGGTGTATCAAACCCTTTTCCATAAGTGGCGCATCACGTAGATTCCTGAAACTAATAAAACAGAAAAGCGTTAGAAATTAATACAGAAGAAAACATGAGTAAGAAACCCGTATAAAACACTTTTCCATAAGTCGTACATTTCGTAAGTTTCTGAAACAAATAAAACGGTAAAGCTTTAGAAATTAATGCAGAAGAAACATGCCTAAAAGGGGTGTATAAAACGCTTCTCCATAAATCGCACATTTCGTAGGATCCTGAAACAAACAAAACAGAAAAGCATTAGAAATTTATACAGAAGAAAATATGCCTAAAAGGGGTGTATAAAACGCTTCTCCATAAATCGCACCTTTCGTAGGATCCTGAAACGAAACAGAAAAGCATTAGAAATTTATACAGAAGGAAATATGCCTAAAAGGGGTGTATAAAACGCTTCTCCATAAATCGCACATTTCGTAGGATCCTGAAACAAAACAGAAAAGCATTAGAAATTTATACAGAAGGAAATATGCCTAAAAGGGATGTATAAAACGCTTCTTCATAAATCGCACATTTCGTAGGATCCTGAAACAAACAAAACAGAAAAGCATTAGAAATTTATACAGTAGGAAATATGCCTAAAAGGGGTGTTTAAAACGCTTCTCCATAAATCGCACATCTCGTAGGATCCTGAAACAAAACAGAAAAGCATTAGAAATGTATACAGAAGGAAATATGCCTAAAAGGGGTGTATAAAACGCTTCTCCATAAATCATAAATCGCACCTTTCGTAGGATCCTGAAACAAAACAGAAAAGCATTAGAAATTTATACAGAAGGAAATATGCCTAAAAGGGGTGTATAAAACGCTTCTCCATAAATCGCACATTTCGTAGGATCCTGAAACGAAACAGAAAAGCATTAGAAATTTATACAGAAGGAAATATGCCTAAAAGGGGTGTATAAAACGCTTCTCCATAAATCGCACATTTCGTAGGATCCTGAAACAAACAAAACAGAAAAGCATTAGAAATTTATACAGTAGGAAAGATGCCTAAAAGGGGTGTTTAAAACGCTTCTCCATAAATCGCACATTTCGTAGGATCCTGAAACAAACAAAACAGAAAAGCATTAGAAATGTATACAGAAGGAAATATGCCTAAAAGGGGTGTATAAAACGCTTCTCCATAAATCGCACATTTCGTAGGATCCTGAAACAAACAAAACAGAAGAGCATTAGAAATTTATACAGAAGGAAATATGCCTAAAAGGGGTGTTTAAAACGCTTCTCCATAAATCGCACATTTCGTAGGATCCTGAAACAAAACAGAAAAGCATTAGAAATGTATACAGAAGGAAATATGCCTAAAAGGGGGGTATAAAACGCTTCTCCATAAATCGCACATTTCGTAGGATCCTGAAACAAACAAAACAGAAAAGCATTAGAAATTTATACAGTAGGAAATATGCCTAAAAGGGGTGTTTAAAACGCTTCTCCATAAATCGCACATCTCGTAGGATCCTGAAACAAAACAGAAAAGCATTAGAAATGTATACAGAAGGAAATATGCCTAAAAGGGGTGTATAAAACGTTTCTCCATAAATTGCACCTTTCGTAGGATCCTGGAACAAACAAAACAGAAAAGTATTAGAAATTTATACCGAAAGAAATATGCCTAAAAGGGATGTATAAAACGCTTCTTCATAAATCGCACATTTCGTAGGATCCTGAAACAAACAAAACAGAAAAGCATTAGAAATTTATACAGTAGGAAATATGCCTAAAAGGGGTGTTTAAAACGCTTCTCCATAAATCGCACATCTCGTAGGATCCTGAAACAAAACAGAAAAGCATTAGAAATGTATACAGAAGGAAATATGCCTAAAAGGGGTGTATAAAACGCTTCTCCATAAATTGCACCTTTCGTAGGATCCTGAAACAAAACAGAAAAGCATTAGAAATTTATACAGAAGGAAATATGCCTAAAAGGGATGTATAAAACGCTTCTTCATAAATCGCACATTTCGTAGGATCCTGAAACAAAACAGAAAAGCATTAGAAATGTATACAGAAGGAAATATGCCTAAAAGGGGGGTATAAAACGCTTCTCCATAAATCATAAATCGCACATTTCGTAGGATCCTGAAACAAAACAGAAAAGCATTAGAAATTTATACAGAAGAAAATATGCCTAAAAGGGGTGTATAAAACGCTTCTCCATAAATCGCACCTTTCGTAGGATCCTGAAACGAAACAGAAAAGCATTAGAAATTTATACAGAAGGAAATATGCCTAAAAGGGGTGTTTAAAACGCTTCTCCATAAATCGCACATTTCGTAGGATCCTGAAACAAAACAGAAAAGCATTAGAAATGTATACAGAAGGAAATATGCCTAAAAGGGGTGTATAAAACGCTTCTCCATAAATTGCACCTTTCGTAGGATCCTGAAACAAACAAAACAGAAAAGCATTAGAAATTTATACAGAAGGAAATATGCCTAAAAGGGGTGTATAAAACGCTTCTCCATAAATCGCACATTTCGTAGGATCCTGAAACAAAACAGAAAAGCATTAGAAATTTATACAGAAGGAAATATGCCTAAAAGGGGTGTATAAAACGCTTCTCCATAAATCGCACATTTCGTAGGATCCTGAAACAAAACAGAAAAGCATTAGAAATTTATACAGAAGGAAATATGCCTAAAAGGGATGTATAAAACGCTTCTTCATAAATCGCACATTTCGTAGGATCCTGAAACAAAACAGAAAAGCATTAGAAATTTATTCAGAAGGAAATATGCCTAAAAGGGGTGTATAAAACGCTTCTCCATAAATCGCACATTTCGTAGGATCCTGAAACAAACAAAACAGAAAAGCATTAGAAATTTATACAGAAGAAAATATTCCTAAAAGGGGTGTATAAATCGCTCTTCCATAAATCGCGCATCACGTTGATTCCTAAACAAATGAAATAGAAAAGCTTTAGAAATTATCTATAATATTTTTATTATTTAATTAATTTAATACATTGTTACTTTTCATCATATTGCTCAGTTATAAGCATTATTAGATTATGTCGGTTCTAATAATTGTACCAGGGAGTCGGTAGAAGATCAGAACTTGCGTTCGCAGCAACTGAATCGACTACTCCTGTGGTTTCCATTTCTTTAATTTAGTGGAACAAATGCATTATTATTAAGTTAATACAGATAAGGGTGTTTAAAACGCTTTTCCATTAATCGGACAATTTGTAGATTCGTGAAACAAATGAAAGTATGCTTAAACAAATATAGCTAATGGACCGTTTATAAAAAGCGTTTCCATAAATTTCAAATTTTTGAGTCTCCTAAAACGAGAAAAAGACAGGAGTTTTAAAAACTCAAAGCATCACATATTTGCGGTCAGAAACAAGGATAGTATTATCGAAGAATGACGCAAACTAGTAAAAAAGGCAATTAGTCCATACGACCCCATACTGCATGTGGAGGTGCCAACGCACTATAGTCTCTCTGTAGTGGGCCTCTACAACTTCTTCGGGTTTGTATGTGAATATTATCACAGCACCAGAGTAAGAGTACTTCAAAACTTCTTACTTTGCAAATGCAATATCGGTTTAATTTTTGTGTTGTTTGGTACAAGGAGCTTTGGGATTTGGGAGTCATTATTTTAATAAACAAAATTCAAGACAGTTTCTTACAGTAGGAGTAGGTACTTAAGGAAACGTGACATTTTTTTATACACAGGATCCCGTAAAATAAATAACGAAATAATACCATATTCAACAATTTATATCAATTGCCCGATGTAACCTTCCCAAATCTATTTTATTAGGAGCTGCAAACTTTAATTGGTGCACCCTGTGTATCAAACTACTCCAATTGTAGCATTCTACAAGCAGTACGATTGAGTACGATTTTGTTAATGGTCATTAACGCAACCAATGTTTATGATTGTATATTGAAGCGATCCAGGTGCAAATGCTTCGAAATAGGAAAATGATTACAAAAACGCAGTTCCATACCTACTAGCTAAAAAGGAGAAAAATTAGTTTTTTTTAACGATGTTTGGTTGTTTTCCAAAGGCAAACTCAAAGTGAGCGATTTATACAATGAATCTTGAACTTTTTGTTACTTTATGTAACTATTAAGTACGATTGAAACTGTCTCGAATAAAATAAAGAAATATAGAAAAAAGTAACGAATTAACATATTATTATATCACAGTATTCGTAAAATGTATGGTAATAAATAATACATTATAACAAATTAGCTGCATATGGCATTAAATAAACTTAAAACTAAAATCACAGCAGATTGTTTCGATAAATACTGTTTATTACAATAACGTCTTTTCACTTTCTTCGACCAGCACACACAGATCCAAATCATCTTTTCAGCAGTATCGTCACGATGTCCACTGAACAATAGGTACCACCCTTTCCTCAGACTTAGTCACGTTTGTGCCGAATTTGACGTTTCAGATTTATCCTCTTCAGTGGGCGGGCGAGGTACCATCTCTTGACGCATCTGGTTGCTGTAACTTGGAGGTGAATCGTCACCGCCACTTTCCTCCAGGTGGCTTGTTCTTAGCGCCTCTAAGGTGTCGACAGGAACGACGTATACATCATATTCTCGCTTTTCCGCACCGCTAGGTTTACACAAACTGTCGTAAGACGGCGGTGCAAACAAGTCGTATGCTGGGGGCGGTAACTCGCTGTGAGTAGGCGAAGCGGCCCCCCTTTGCATATTTCTGTTCCTCAACCGCGTTCTGCAGCACCATTCCGAACACGATACGATTAGGAAGAAGAATATTAAACCGCCGAACGATCCTACGTACCACAAGATTGACCACGGTTGAAAATTGCCATCCTCTGCAAACATTTTTATAGACACCACTAAAGATTGCACCATCTTACCATTTTCATTGGAATTGACATCCTCTGGGCTACCTATATCATTGGACGTAGTGAGAAGTTCATCTTGTCGAGGGTACTCCACGAATATCCTTGGTTTGACACCATTACTGTAGTAGATCCCTTTCACTTCGACTAGATCTCCAGTAGGATCTAGTCCCACTGATTCTGGTATTAGTATATCTTCCTTGGCATCCGATTTTAGCACTTTTTGATCTGAAACGAGAGCTTTTATAGAATCTGGTCATAAAAAGATTAGTTTATTAGCATTCAATTAAAAGTAACGTATAGCTTTCTACATTTTCCACAGTTACCTACTGTTTATTTACTTGGTTTATCTATGTGCTTTACCAAGTGAATAAAGTTTTAAGTTTCTGAAACCGTGTTGACGAAATGACACGTATCCACCTGTGTTTGTTTGCAAAACAATTGTAGATAACTGGTATCTGGCAAAAAACAATGATAATGCTAACAACTATTATCTTCATTTTCAAAATGTACACTAATTTAACTCGGCTTCAGAGACCTACACGTTTCAATGTTAAATGGATTGAGGGTTACTGACACCTGTAATCTTGATTGTCAGTAGAACGTTTGGCTTCAACAGGTTTTAGCCTATAATGACTCCACAATCGCTAATTATCTTTAATTAACATTTGAACTCTTGAGGGTTTTCTGTAATTTGATTTTCGGCAATTAGAACCTTCAACCTGTATAGTGTAACTTAGCACATATTTCCTAAGTAGGTAATGCACCTATACTTATCGATTTAGCAAATCAAATACTAGGTACTTAGCAGTTTGACGTCAGGGTTTACGTCATGCGAATTGTAATCCTTTGATGAAGGTAACGTGCAGAATCCATGGATTTTAATGGATTAGGTACCACAGGTACGAGTACTTTCGGAACTGATTTGCACAATTTCACCGTTGGTACTAGGATCATCAACATTGTTTTCCGCTCGTAGCATTCACGTGAAATTTTTTATTTCGCAACGTATTTGCTAGTAATGTGATTTTTTTTGAGATTTGGAAAAAAGAACGTTATCTCCTGTTGTTGTGTAAGATTTTCACATAGCAAAATCTTCATTTTTACATTTACTATTATCAAGTACCTACATAGGTAAAGTCGAGGGTAAAGTACACTTTTCCAAATGCCGCAGCCAGGGAGAAATACGTGATGATACATTGGGAACTCACGATGATTGACATGTACAGAGATATTGTCACTCAGTGCTTACGTGCTGACTAATAAGGTGACCATCAGTAACATGTAAAAGCTCAATGTCTTTCTTGTTATACAGAAAAAACTGTTGCTGCTGATAAAAATAAGGGGTTGCGTTTACTAAATCGCTTAAAAGCTTTGCCTGTCTACTATACTAATATCTATTAAGATAACTACTAATTTGTAAGTAATGTAAGCATATTTTACAGTCAATTAAATATTATTATTATCGAGATTATTATTATAGGTACTTTAAAGAACGAGTCCTTTAAATAATAAAACACCGTGTTTTCAATATTTTTTATAACACTGCAGAATCTTTAACCGAATTTGTCTTTTATTAATTATATCATGAGGGAAAAATGTTTTTCAAACTTGGCGTAGGGAGTTACCATGTTAATAGAATCAACAACATTAGGTATGAAAAATTAAGCAGCGTACTTTAAGTAGTGTATAAAAGACGGACTTTATAAAAACAATGTCCCTGTACTGTACTGTATGTACACTCCTCGTCTCGGATTTATAAAAGTTGGAATCAAAACACTTGTGCCACGCAAGTGCCTCAATTTGAATGGCGCTTGTGTTGATGAATAGCCCAAGAGTGTAGCCCCCAAATGTATACAATAATAGATTTTCTTTACAAGTTTACAATTTTTTATTTCAAAACGTCTGCTACTTTCTGGACAACCCTTGTATGACTATTTATGTGAGAGTGATCAAACCTGAGAATCCGGTTTTGATTTTGAGATTATAAGAGGTTACATTCTGCAAGGAAAGAGCCGAGGTAAGAGCTATTGAAAATTTATACATTACTGAGTTAGCCGTGGTATTAAATTTCATTACAAAACATTAATTGTTACAGTGCCGTAGAGAATAAAATTTATTTTCTACAAGAGGGTCGTCCAAGTAAACCGTTACACTCCCCAATACTTCTCGTCCCTGAAATACATGCCTTTAAGAAAATTATTCGTTATCCTGTTTTGCTTTTAGTTGGCACGAATTTCTTAAGGAAAAAGAGATAAACATTCATCTGGCCTTTGGAGCTAATTTACGCTTGGGAATATACTTCGAACTGAAACCTGGGTTTAATTGCATCGATGTGGTACAGGTCGTCTAGCAATTTAAGCGATTTTTAGCAAGTATAATGTTGCAATTGTGTAGTGGTTGCGGTGATAGTTTATAACGCAATAATGGCAATTTTGGTAAACAAATGTGACGATTTGCTAGAAATTTTCCAGAGATTGTGACAATAATTATTAAGTGCTGTAAAGTAGGTAATAGATAATATAAACTGAGATTAGTCTTGAATATAAATATGCCTATAAAAAAAATTCCGCTGTAAAATACGTAGATTAGCTCTTTTTGAGAGTGCGTAAATTTTTTACATTTGTTGTTACTCGAGCTTTTATTAAAAGCAGTTCCAGGAAAATACTGGCACAAATTAGAAAGTTGATCGATCAAGTATGGAAACATTTGAATTATATCAAAAATATTCAGTTAAAGAAATTGAGAAAGAAAATTTCTCAAAATTCGAAAAACCATTAGACCAAATCGTTCTCGATGTATTTGTAACTGTAATAGCAAAGCTGACGTACAGAATTTGACAATGGGAGGGAAATGGTTCAGGCAGAAGGGAGTTCCCACATTTAAAGTAACACACAATGATAAATTTAGCGGTTGTTTATGCTAATTTTTATTTTATTTTGCTGAATGGTGAACCCCTCCCACAATCAACAGTATCACAACTGAATTCTAAAAAAAACGCACTTTCTGTTATATTTTAAACCAAGATATTAATACATTTCTATTTTTGTCACTCGTTAGTAAACGATCAATAGGATAACGAAAGGAAAATGCTGTTTACTCGCTGTATCTATGCATATATTCGCCCTGGAAAACTTTACTAAACAAATTCGCTTCAGTCTTGAAACAGTCGCCCCCTGAAAGCGAACCCTCGGAATATTCACCCACCTTTTTTCCCAATCTAAAGACTCGCTCACGCAAATGTTGTCTTTCAAAAATCACCCCCAGGTTTATTTGCCCGCAAAGTAAAACTCTTAGTTTGTTGGGCGAATGTGCAGGTGGCTAATATGCTAGGGCAGAATTTAGGGTGGAGAATACTCCATGTAAAAATGTGAAAGAAGAAAATGCAGGGCACTCTTTTTGGAACAAGGAACAGGGCAAAGAGTGGAATATTCAACATAATATACTACTACGTTTCAACAACCGACGCTATTCTTTTTTCGCCATTTTACGAAATCAGGACAGTACACATTATCAAAAATCAGGGGCGTAACTAAAAAACTCGATGACCCTCCAATCGCAAGGGGAAGATCAGTATTAAAAGGATATTGTTTGCAGCTCAAATATAAAACGTGTAAGGTTGAAAGGAACTTAAAAAGAAATTGAAGAGAAGATTATGGGACGTGATGAGAATTTGAAAAGAAACTTAAGAGGAACTCAGGAAGAACTTTGGAAAGTTGTCCAGAATTAAGACGGACAATTTCTGAACTTGTAACGAGTGAGAAGAACATAAAGGGAACTTAAAAGGTGCTCGAGGAGAATTCTAATGGAAATTTGAAGGGAACGACAGTAGTATTTAAGTAACAAAGAATTGTATGTGTTTCTAGTTATATTAGCAGTAACATTTTATGAAAGCTAATATTTTTTAGCTGCAGATACAAGGATAATTGAAGAAATGTTTCGTGATATACAGCGTGTAGAAACTATTTACGAACCATAGGGATTTAAATGCTAATTTCTTTATATGGAAATACTTTCTCCCCTAATTAAATTAGAGTAACGTTGAAAATAGGTTTTTGTACCTTGAAAAATTCTGCGTCTGTTCATGTCGTTATTTATTATTATTTGCCAATTCTGGAAACCGAAAAAATGAAATAAATGTAAATTTCCAATACGCTGCATGTGTCTTTTGTACAAGGCGTTGCATTAATTACAAATATTAAAAATTCTAGATAATTAATTTGATTTGAAAGGTGATCCAGGAATTTATTGAAATTTTATTTTGTATTTGTTGGTGGCCCACCCAAACCAACCACCTCCCGTAGCCCAACATGGACTCAGAAGCAAAATGAATTTCCTGCGTCTGCGTGTATAATTAATAATGTTATTGTCCAGATTATTATAATATGGTCCGAAATGACTATAGAAAAGTGAAAAATGGCTGGTTATGTGGGCTTCCACTCTAAATATGTTCCCATGGTTCCCGCTGCTACAATGCAATTCGTACAAGTTGGAAACCGCATGAGATTGATTACAATCCCACTGATACATTATTCGATATCACGTTCACTGATTAAAAAACCCACGATGATTATGTTATATACAGCATGGAACAGGACAAAATAAAGGTTTTATTGAAAAAACCGCATTAGATTATCGCTACTTTCGATTACTTATATTGAACAATAAGATCGTACTGGAAACTTTAGCTAGACCAGTTGCAAGTAAAGTTTGGATTCCAAAAACAAAGAGACGAGAAGGTCACATCCGCTTGAAATGAATAGTTCAAAGATTCGTGTGAAGAAAAGATCGAGCAAATCAAAAACAAAAGATAAATGTATCCTACAATAATAAAAATACCTATGCATAATTATGTACCTACGTAAAAAAGAAAAGATCATGTACAGAATTGCAAGTAATAAAATAATGTATTATTAATGACAACTGTTAAAATATTAATAATTCAGGAAGTAAACTTTGAGCAGATAAATATTTATTACGCTAGATTTCCTGATTCAAGCATTCTTATGTACTACGGGTGAAGGTAAGGTAAATTGTTTAGTGGTCCATGGAACCTAATGACAAATAAGCTAAAATAAGATCATCGCTCTTCGCGATGTGGGAGTAAGGTCAGTGTATCACCCCGCAGACAAACAATTTCGTTTTGGGAATACCTCTAATTACGCGGTTCCATAATTCCAGTTTATTTATAATACGTGAATAATGATCTTATCTCTCACTTCTGTTATAGAACGCAGAATACAAGGGGATGGGCCAACGAACGGAACGTCTACCTATACCAAAAAACTAATTTCCACTTTGATTAGGTTTTTAAGAACCAATTGATGATCATGACTAGTGTATTTTTCCAGATTGAGGAGCAACTTTTAATTAGGCCGAAAAGTGGGTTACGATATTAAAAATAAAAATCGAGTAACTCACCAACAAAATTAAACTCTAAACAAAAAACATCTTTGGTCCATAACGATAAAAATAAAAGGAGTTTCCACATTTCCACAAACATTTCCACCGTATTTCGACTGTTTTTTTATTGGAACTAATTTAATCAACAAAGAAACCGTATATAATTGGGTTTAACTATACAATTACACCTATGATGCCAGGTTACGTCACATTTCGTTTATTAAAACAAGTTAATAAAATTTGTAATATATATGCGTCCAACAAGAAAAAATAGTAAGCGCACCCGCGACCTCGCAATTTAGCACTGTTCGCGAGTAGATTAATCTCGAAAAATAGCGAAGCACCTGTTTTAAGTAACTTATAAATCCTTATCAGAGCTGATATGTAATCGCTAAATTAAAAGGAGCCGTACTAAATTAACGCAGAACATACTACAAGCGTTAACACTTCAATTTCTATTTATAATTTTTTTAACCTTTACGCCGTTTTCGCTATTTCTGTCTCCCATTTTATCTTCCATCCAAGTTTGCGTAAGTATGGCCAGATAAATTTTAGAAACTGAACTTCTCTCTATAATTAGATGAAGTGCAATGGAACCTTGACTTAAAACAATAAAAGTAAACAACCAGTTTAGTAAACACATCGATCTATTGTTAGCCCAAGTTTTTCCATTTGCAATTTCAATTAGTTATCGCCGTTTTCACATCCGGCGAGCGTGTTATCGGATTAGATATACTGATAGGTACCTGATAACAAGAGAAGGGAACATTAGTTTGGTGGAAAGGGTATGGACCCAACCAAAAGTGGTTGAACATTTCGCCATACGCGAATTTATCACTAATTTTATCTCGGTTTTGTTGCTTAATGCAATGTTCAATCAACCATCCCCTGCATTACAAAACCACAATCTAATCGCAGATTTTATCCAGCTTGCTGCACTCCAGTTAGAAGTTTGTACGTTTATGAGTATTTAATAATAAAAATAATATATTGCCTTTGTACGCCATTTTGCTTTGTATGCCATGTTATGTTTCCCGATATGACAGTACTCAGGATCCATCAACTACGAGAACGCGGACTGGTATTAGGGGTTGAAATGGACACTGGTTTACCGATGCAAATTGGAGGCAATGTGTTTAAATAATAGGCGTAGTTCCGCCTAGGTCTGAGGCCTGCTTCTTACAGAACCAATATTTAAGGCACAATTTGACCTTAACTGTCAGCCGTAGTAACCAATTTAAAACCCACCTAAAACCAGTGCAACTTTCTTTGGAACACATCAATTAAAAATGATAAAATTAAAATATGAGTCAATTATAAGAGGAAGAATTAACTGATCCTTTTAGCTAAGTTAATATAATCTACTAGCAGCTTGCATAGTAGGCAAACTTAACTCCATTTCCAATTACAAAATAATTACAGCCGAACGCATAGTTTCGCGTAGGTTAATAAAGCACATACACAAATCTGTAACTCCTGACTTCAAAAGTCCGTCCCTGACCAATGTCCGCATCTGTTGCATTTATTCAAATCTGACCACAGTAGATTCGTGTAGGATTATAGCTACTTGCAAATATCTAATGCAATTAATTAATCTTAATTGAAAAGAATTTACCTTGTAGTGAATTATTCCAACAGTGATTGGCACTGAATATAATTAACAAAATGTTTTAACTTTCAGGATTTGGCAATTGCTTTAATTTGTTGTGTCGTATTTCAACCGCTGATAGTAAAAACAAGACCATATAACGGACGATCAAAAATGAGTTGCTGTCGAGTCGCCTTTGAAAGTTCAAGTTAAATACCATTTCCCATGTAAACAAAAATTACAAAGGTAACTCCACAGCAACTCATTTTTGATCGCATAGTACAATTGACCGGTGTTACCACCGTTCCCGTGAGGATATATTAGTATATTAAAACATTACTAAACGATTATGATGGGACTATCATAATCGCACATTATAAACAAATGTTTTCCGCTTTCCGGTCGATATTTAAAAATCAGGAGAGGTGGGCGAGCGAGGATTTTAAGCAGATTTTCGTACAAACACCGGTGTGTAAAAAAATTGATTTGCGGTCGATATCTATAGTTGGGTTGCGAGAAATATCCTCGCCAGGGTTACAGCCCCTTGAATTTTCTTTCGAAATTGGTTTTTAGACCATCACTTGTGATTGAGAAGTCTAATCGAAAAAGTACGAATCGTTTTGGATTCTACGCACCAAAATTAATAAGAAAAAGTGTTTTCCCGAGAAATTTTGGTGTAGTCGATTTTTGGTAAAAAAGGAAGGTTATACACTGCCTTTTTTTGAGGCCCCAAAAAAAATTGTCTCAGATCGACCGGAAAAAAACATTTTCTTATAGAATAAGGCCTGTAGATTCCATAATTTCAAACAGTTCCAAGATTGGGGTACTAGATCAAAAGTTACAGCCCTTTGAATTTTCTTTCGAAATTGGTTTTTAGTCCATAACTTTTGATTGAGAAGTCTAATCGAAAAAGTACGATTCGATTTGGATTCTACGCACCAAAATTAATAAGAAAAAGTGTTTTCCCGAGAAATTTTGGTGTAGTCGATTTTTGGTTAAAAAGGAAGGTTATACACTGCCTTTTTTTGAGGCTCAAAAAAAATTGTCACAGATCGACCGGAAAAAAACATTTTCTTATAGAATAAGGCCTGTAGATTCCATAATTTCAAACAGTTCCAAGATTGGGGTACTAGATCAAAAGTTACATCCCTTTGAATTTTCTTTCGAAATTGGTTTTTAGTCCATAACTTGTGATTGAGAAGTCCAATCGAAAAAGTACGAACCGTTTTGGATTCTACGCACCAAAATTAATAAGAAAAAATGTTTTCCCGAGAAATTTTGGTGTAGTCGATTTTTGGTTAAAAAGGAAGGTTATATACTGCCTTTTTTTGAGGCTCAAAAAAAATTGTCACAGATCGACCGGAAAAAAACATTTTCTTATAGAATAAGGCCTGTAGATTCCATAATTTCAAACAGTTCCAAGATTGGGGTACTAGATCAAAAGTTACATCCCTTTGAATTTTCTTTCGAAATTGGTTTTTAGTCCATAACTTGTGATTGAGAAGTCTAATCGAAAAAGTACGAACCGTTTTGGATTCTACGCACCAAAATTAATAAGAAAAAGTGTTCTCCCGAGAAATTTTGGTGTAGTCGATTTTTGGTAAAAAAAGGAAGGTTATACACTGCCTTTTTTTGAGGCTCCAAGAAAAAATTGTCTCAGATCGACCGGAAAAAAACATTTTCTTATAGAATAAGGCCTGTAGATTCCATAATTTCAAACAGTTCCAAGATTGGGGTACTAGATCAAAAGTTACAGCCCTTTGAATTTTCTTTCGAAATAGGTTTTTAGTCCATAACTTTTGATTGAGAAGTCTAATCGAAAAAGTACGATTCGATTTGGATTCTACGCACCAAAATTAATAAGAAAAAGTGTTTTCCCCAGAAATTTTGGTGTAGTCGATTTTTGGTTAAAAAGGAAGGTTATACACTGCCTTTTTTTGAGGCTAAAAAAAAAATTGTCTCAGATCGACCGGAAAAAAATCATTTTCTTATAGAATAAGGCCTGTAGATTCCATAATTTCAAACAGTTCCTAGATCAAAAGTTACAGCCCTTTGAATTTTCTTTCGAAATAGGTTTTTAGTCCATAACTTGTGATTGAGAAGTCTAATCGAAAAAGTACGAATCGTTTTGGATTCTACGCACCAAAATTAATAAGAAAAAGTGTTTTCCCGAGAAATTTTGGTGTAGTCGATTTTTGGTTAAAAAAGGAAGGTCTGTCTGCCACTGCCTTTTTTTGAGGCCCCAAAAAAAATTGTCTCAGATCGACCGGAAAAAAACATTTTCTTGTAGAATATGGGCTGTAGATTCCATAATTTCAAACAGTTCCAAGATTGGGCTGCTAGATCAAAAGTTACAGCCAGGATCCTCGCGTATGTGTAAAGATTTGAGGTTGCAATTCAGGAACCGGATCGTACAATTAGTGAGTGAAATCTATGCGAATAGGTAATAATAACTTTTATATTTGGAAAATATACATGAAGGGACATTTTCGAATAGGTTTGTTGAAGTAGGGTTCGGCACCCTTAAAAATAGCTAATAAACATTTCTATTTGGGATCGTTTGTACATTATTTTGTGAAGATCACTTGTATCTATCTATATATATCTACTATTAGAAATATGTGGTGTCATAAGAGATAAAACCACTTTAGTAAACATGTAAACAAAAATGTTGTTAAGGGTACAGACAATTAAATAATCAGTAAGGATCTCGAAAAAAAACAGAATATAGTTTCGCATTAATTTAAAGTCCTTTGATGGTAAAATTAGATACCTTCAAGTCCAAAACGTATGCTTAAAATAGGGTTTCGCCAAATAGTGCCAGAATACACTAAGTACCTAAGCTTCTGTCACTGATTTGCTAGGTTTCACTGAATACCTCACCGAAAAGCTTTGCTTGGCAGATTAAGTGTGACTTTCATCATCCTTTGTTTTGTTACGTCAGAGCTCACAATTTGTGCTTTGATCATGCATGATGATACACGGAATCTTCAAGAGCTGTTTAAAAGGTGCGGTCATAAGAGGCGTACCGTTTAGACTTGGGTATTATCGCATTATCATGATCATTGAGTGTTGATCCGTAAATGCCAAAAATAACGTTTGAATGGGCATCATAGCCGCTAATCTGTAGTAGTCATTTTCCTCAATTGAAACACCTACGTAGCTAGGTGGTTGTAGGATTACCTACCCAAAAACAGCAACACGAAAATGCATTACCTCTACACTACAATTTAGAGAAAAAGTTGTGCGATATTGCTGCCAGTTCTAGTACCGCTTTCTAAATCTCCCAAGGAACGTCAATTTCTGTTTAATCGGTCAAAACTTGCCCAAGGTTTCTCAGGATCAATGAATCTAAAAACTGTTTCACAATTTTCGTTGAAAAATCGATCGAAATTTTGCAATAGTAGTAAAGGCGATTAATCGTTATCGCTATCGAGCTTACCTATAAAGATACCTAGGCCATTTTGATTTATTAGTTTGTGCAATTTACCATTAAAATATGCTTGGAAATAATACGAATGAAAGCCAAAAGTACTCATATTTGCCTAATTCGCCGTAAGTAAACTATTAGTCGAGTTAGGGATTGAGTGGCCATGTTTCTTCTCTCATTTTTAGCCCAGCTGAGCCTAAGAGAAGAAGATGGGATGCTTTCAATGACCCTCCGGTTGAAGTACTGCAAGGTTCAGCGGAGGAAACTAAAATTTCAGATGGGCTTGTCAAAGTAGCTAAGATAGCTGCATATCTGGTGACCTTTATCGTGGTTTTGGGTGCGGCTACTATATCAAAAGGAACTTTATTATTTATGACATCGCAAATTGGGCAAAATACAACCAAGATGTACTGCAATGAACTAATCGGTACGCGCATACACACACTCAATGCATTTAAAAGGAGGACACTTGTTTTAGATAGGAACAGACAGTTTGTGGTCCAACTTCCCCAAATCGAACGGACGGTTTGGATGTGGATGCTAATATTTGCATACTTTGTACCCGAATTGTTGACGTTTCTGAGATCTCTACGTATGTCTATTTTTAAAAGATGGGACATGCCAACATCGGCGGAAAGTTGGTCATTAGTTGCAACAGAATCTTTACCTCCCATCGGAAGTGCCTTACTAGTATTCGTCATACTCCCTGAGCTAGACGTACTCAAAGGAGTTATGCTTACAAACGCAATCTGCTTTGTACCCGCAGTTGTTGGTAAACTTATGAACAGTTTCTAAATCGAACATTACATACGTATAATTTAGCATTTTTTTCGCGAACGCCTCATGAAAAGAGTAACGTTGTAAAGATATCTTTTGATGTTATCAGTATTATAGCACAAGGGTCTGCACTAGTCATTTGGCCTATGATCGAAAAAGAGCCCACAATGTGGATGATACCGATAACAGTGCTACTTATTTCAGCGGGTTGGTGGGAAAACTTCGTTTCAGAAGGTTCCCCCATCAAGTTCATCAAAAAACTAGGCAAATCAAAGAAAAAATTTAACAATAGCCGATACTTTCTGTACAGTTTTATTTCCATATGGAAATGTATATTATTTTTTGTCACGACCATAGCCATAATTTCAGTCCGGGAAGGATCTGTTGATTTCATGTTCGAAAATTTTGCCGATGCATTTAGCAGTCACGCAATAAACGCAACTGAGGTACTTTTACCTTCTCTTTACTTGTTGTTTGATTAAATTCCGTTTCAGATAAAACCATTAATTGGGGGTGAAGGAGGAATGTTCGAAACTGCTAACCATAGCCCAATAATGTCCAACAGCCTAACGCCAATATGGGTATTTCTAATTAACGCTACCTCCACTTACATCTGTTACATATTTGGAAAATTCGCCTGCAAAATCCTAATCCAAGGTTTCAGTTTCGCATTTCCCGTAAATTTAACCGTTCCAACAACAGTCGCGATCCTGGTAGCACTCTGCGGGGTGCACAACGGAAACCCATGCGCTTTTAGCACCGCGATTCCCCCGTACTTATTTTTTAGCAGTCCCCCATTCTACTTCTTGGAAAATTTCATTAGGAGTCAACACGTCTGGGTTTGGTTACTATGGTTACTGTCACAAATATGGATCACGATTCACATTTGGCAACCGCGATGTGAGAAATTAGCAAAAACCGAAAGACTATACGTAAGGCCGATGTTTGACGCGTTTTTGATTGATCAGTCGCTAGCTCTCAACAGAAGAAGAGATGATCTGCCGGAAAAGCTCGACGAAAATGACGGCGACGAGGGTGAAACTTTCGGTAAGTCTTTCAGCGTCCAAAGATTGCACTCCTGAAGTGTTATAGAAGTAAACACGCCGCCGATGCGAAATAATTCCTCATACGACTGTTCTGTAACCCGAATTTACGCCTGCGGTACCATGTGGCACGAAAAGTTCGAGGAAATGGTGGAATTCTTAAAATCGGTGATCAGGCTCGATGAGGACCAACGGGCGAGGCGTTTAGTAAGAGACGAGTTGGGATTTGAAATGCCGGATTACTACGAGCTGGAAAGTATGATTGCATTTAAAACGTGTACGTGCGAAAACCTCCCTTGCAGCTCATATCTACTTCGATGACGCATTTGTGAGACTGCATGAAAAGGACAACAATCCAAAACTAAACCAGTACGTCAAGAACTTAGTGTTAGCAGTCGACGAAGCTACGTCCAAAGTACATCAAATCGCTAATATGAAGCTTGGAGATCCTACAAAGTACGTTACTCCTTACGGGGGCAGATTAGTCTGGACGCTCCCTGGGAAGACTCTTCTAATTGCACATTTGAAGGATTCGAAAAAAATACGTCAGAAGAAACGTTGGTCCCAAGTTATGTACATGTACTACCTCTTGGGTCATAGGTGAGTTTTCCAATGAACGGCCCAGCTTACTAACAACTACCAATAGATTAATGCAACGAAACGACTTATCGCCCAAACAGAAGGATTTAATATCAGAAAATACGTACATTCTGGCTTTAGATGGGGACATAGACTTTCAGCCACACGCCGTGCATTTACTCGTGGATTTAATGAAAAAGGCCAAGGATTTAGGTGCGGCCTGCGGTCGAATCCATCCCTTAGGATACGGACCTCTGGTATGGTACCAGATGTTCGAGTACGCAATCGGGCATTGGCTGCAGAAGGCGGCGGAACATACGATCGGTTGCGTTTTATGTAGCCCCGGCTGTTTTTCCTTGTTCCGAGCGAAGGCCCTAATGGAAAACGGCGTGATGCGCCGATACGCGTCGCAAGCCAAACTCGCGCGCCACTTCGTGCAGTACGATTTGGGAGAAGATCGGTGGCTTTGCACTCTGCTCTTACAGAATGGGTATCGTGTGGAGTATTCGGCTGCTTCAGATTCATACACGCATTGCCCTGAAGGTTTCAAGGAGTTTTATAACCAGCGCAGGAGGTGGATGCCCTCCACTACCGCTAATGTTATCGACTTACTAATGAACTGTGAGAGAACTATAAAAATTAATGACAGCATTTCAAGACCATACATCACGTACCAAGTACGCAACCAATTACGCGTCCAGCCTTTTCATTTGATTTTTTCAGATAATACTACTTATAGGCACAGTTTTAGGCCCAGGCACTATATTTTTAATGTTAGTTGGCGCATTTGTAACAGTATTTCAAATTGGTCAATGGACCAGCTTTTTATGGAACGCAATTCCCATTTTAATCTTTGTTGCCGTTTGCATGCTCTTCAAAGCAGATGTTCAGGTGAGTGAGGCCTTTCCAACTTGAAAAAAAACCTGATGTTTTAGATAGTACTCGCGGGTATTATTAGCGCAATTTATGGTTTAGTTATGATGGCCGTATTAATTGGTGTGTTACTACAAATTAATGCCGATGGCCCTTTAGCACCTTCATCGCTATTCTTCTTCTGCGTCGCTGGAGAACTAATTCTAACTGCCTTTTTACATCCCAAGGAATGGACTTGCCTAAGATACGGTTTGGTGTACTACGTCACGGTTCCCAGTATGTACATGTTGCTGGTGATTTACTCGATCTTCAACCTAAACAACATTTCATGGGGTACCAGAGAACTTACAGTAGTGCCGGAAACGGTATTGGTCCGCATATTTACTCAATTTAACTTGTCATTGTAGGTCCCAGAGACAAAAACGGAACCAAAATCGAAAGGGAGGCGCTTCTCTTTCATTTCAGGTGAGAAGCAAGAAGACGCGGGAGCGTTCGAGCTGAGCATCGGAGGTGTATTTAGGTGTCTATTCTGCACTCACTCTAAGAAAGACGAAGATAACGCAAAGTTGACTGAGATAAGCGAAAGTTTGAAAGCATTGACAGCCAAACTGGACGCACTCGAAGTAACGCTGCAGAAGATGGATGAGGATCAGGAAATTCAGCCCTCCGTACCGGAATTAAGCTCACCATCTCCCGAAAAGGATAACACAATGGTGGCGGATTTAGATGTGGAGGAAACCGAAGACCATCAGTGGTTAGAACAAGACGGATTAGGGCATGGAGATTGTGCTCCACTGGAACCAAGGGAGAGAATGTTCTTCCAAGAGTTGATATCCAAGTATCTATATAGAATTAAAGAGAACAAAGCACAGCTCGACAAGGATTTAACAGATTTGCGTGATAAAACGGTTATGGCATTCTTTATGGTCAACGCCTTATTCGTGCTTGTTGTATTCCTGTTGACTTTAAAGAAAGACTTTTTGCATGTCAATTGGCCCTTGGGCGCAAAGTACAACTTTACTTACAATGGAGATAGAAGAGACGTAAGTGTGAAATGATACAAAATAATACGCTTATTCGTGTTTTCAGATACAATTATCCAAGACCCCGCTCCAACTCGAACCCATCGGTTTTGTGTTTCTCGCATTTTTCGCGTCACTTCTCGTTGTACAATTTATAGCAATGCTGTTCCATAGATTTTCCACGTTTGCACAGATTTTGTCCAACACACACATCAGCTGGAGAGCGTGTACAAAAATCGACACAAACAATTTGACCGCGGACGAAATTTTGGCAAGAAATCCGGTAAAGGTGGTAAAGTGGTTTATGAAGATAAACGGCGCGGACGACGATGAAGAGGATGAACGGGAAACTGAGGTTGCTGGAAGACGGAAAACCGTTCAGCAACTTGCCGAACAACCGACACAAAAGCAATTGGTCGCCGACTTTTTTGACGCATTCGAATTGCGCAAAAATAGATATTTAAAAAGCACAAGTAAGACACTACTTGCTAGGTACGCGCCTGAACTATTCAATGTTCATAGATCCCCAAGGAGCCGCTAGAAAATCGTTGGCCGATGCAATCTTGAGGCGACAAAGTAAAATGCGGGGGAGACAATCAACGATGAATGGACAAATTCAACTTGAAGGCGGTTATACTAACGAAGGGTTTCTTGCATAAGTCGCTCTAAAGTAATCTTAATAATTTGCGTGTAATCAAGATATAATAATTATAATTTACCGTATGAAGATACTGTATTGTATAGGAATAAAAGAGAAAAAGACACTTAAAGAGAATTAATCATCACAATCATCTCTTCATCAATAGGTTTACTGTTCCTTGACTACTTCAGTGTAGATTCGTGAAAGTGTAAATAAATACAGAAAAAGAGCTCCTGGGTATGGCTATATAGCATGTGCAAAACCAAATTTTAAACCTGATGTTAGTTTTGCTTTTATTTAAAGTGTATAGGTACCTTTATGTATGAAATTTTATTTAAATGCTTCCATAAATAAGAAAGTTGGCACTGCGCATGCGCAAAACCAAATTTTGAAACGCGTTAAATTTGCTTTTATTCCAAGTGGCTATGTATCAAATTTCATTTAAAAACCATCATAAATAAAAAAGTTTGCAATTCGGTTTATAAATGGTCGAGATGCGAAAAGCTATACGCATATTGAATTTCATGCAATTCGGTTCATAACTCACGGAGATGTCAAAAGGGCCTTCCTTATTTTTTGGGCTACATTGCCAATTCACGAACTCCGATCTACAAACTTGATAAAGAATCCATCTACAAAATTTTATCGTAATCGGTCCATTCGTTATCGAGATATCGTGCTAAATGACGGGCAGACGGACAGACACCGCAAAATTATAAACTCCCTAGGAGCTCGTTAATAAAGTAGAGCCGTAAAGCTTTTTACAACCCGCACGTTATGTAAGGGAGGTATTACCTATTGCATTTTGGTAAAAGATGACCCTCCACGTTTCTGACGGAAATACACATTTTAAAGCACCAGGAATCCGAATCAAACAAAATCTCGATCGATCTGTCTGTCTGCCATTTCCGGCTAAATGACTTTACTGATTGGAACCAAATTTTGTACCTTACACATAAAAGGGCACAAGGTGAACGTGCGAGTGGTATCTGAGCTAGCTACAGCAATTTTTTTTAAATCTAACTTTTCCGCTCGCATAGAACCGATAAAGAATTCGTGGAATATAGCAACTTTAAAACCATCACTAGCATTTTTTATCTTTTTAATTTTTCAATAAAACAAAATTGTAGTGGTCTTTGGCCAACTTATTTGCGAAGCTGACTGTTTTCGATAAACAGCAAAAATAACAGTTTTAGAACAAATGTGCTCAAATACAGCTGCGTTTTAGCGAAAGAAAACTAGATTCCCATCCCACCACCAAACAAACGCTTAACCAACAAAAGGCGGCGTTTAATGACCGGTTCGTTTATTTAAAACCTTTTCCCTTTCCATTTACTTCCTCTCTCCCTCCTTGACAAAATAATGTCTTCGAAAGATCAAACCGCACCTGTGTGTTTAATATGGCGATAACAAGTCCGCATCAGTTAATTAAGCATACGCAGCGATAAGAAAACTTATCTACGACCGGAGAAAACATGATATACACTTTTACAAATACTACGCAAATAATTTCCAAATGTTTAAATCCTACCTGATAACACATAACAACAAATTAACAACTAATAATTCTAATACAAAATATCGACTTCGAAATCAAATGACATGATCAAGTTCTCCTCGGTGAATGAGATCAACTTTTTCCACGATCCCCTAAATATATGTAATAATAAATCAAATTAGATTTTAAGCCCTAATGTATGTTCAGAGTGCCCTGTATTCTTTAAAACCTTATGTTAAAAAAAATTAAATTTTATTAATATAAAATATGTAAAAGGCGCCATATAAAAAAATAATGTGTAGATAAAATAGATACAAAATTATCACTACTAATACAATACTTCTCTAAAACATCAAGCAAATGTATAATAATTACAATACTGTTAGTAACACTAGAAAATCAACAAAAACTCTATACTATAATGATTAATATAAAACATAAAAAATGTACATAGCTTAACATTATCACGATATTTCATAATTAATACATTGGCGGGACTGTATTAAATATAAATAGCAATTCGAAGGTATTGGCCACAGGTTTCAACGCCAAGCAGTATAAAAACATAATTCTGTAAAATAGGAACTGGGTTATGTATACACTTTCCCAAGCAATGAATCTATTAACGGCTTTCTAGATCATCAGCTCATTTTCTACTACATTCTTAATTTGGTAGAAATTTGTGGCATGGTTTTTGGTCAGCGTATTATTATTAGCTGCCCAAACGCTCGCCAAGATAAGAACACATGAAGTGTTTGGCTAATGGCATTGTTTGAATATTAAAAGTAGACAAACTGTAGTTTACTCCTGGATCAAATCTAAAATGCAAATAATGCATATAAGTTTTATCCAACTATATTTTTAACAAAAGACCAGTGAATACTAACACTTGCAGAATTTAGGCAAAAAGCAAGAAGAAAGGGAGGGTTTTAAAAATGTTAGTATTTTTAAATTTTGATTGTTGAATCATTGAATTTGTAATTATACAATTGGGAATTTCAATAACAATTTGTGAAATGAGACTCTAATCATAGTTATGAGTTATTAATTAAGATATTAAAATTTTCGTGATTTTATAATGTGTCAAATCCTGAAACTCCAAAATATGTGAATAAAATTATAAAAAAAAGGATTATCCTTAGAATCCAAAATTTTCAAAATGTTTATTGCAGTTAATTTAATAATAATAATACTAATAATAATAATTATTATTATGACAAAGTTGAAAATAAAATTTTTCGACTCGATAAATTCTAAGAGTATTAGATAAATTTGGTGCAATAAGGTGAAATGAAAAATTTGAGGAAAATGCTAGAAAAATTAATAGAAACTGAGAGAAAATGTTAAGGAAAAATCTTAGTTAATTTTGGGATGGTAAGGGGAACAGTAGCAGTTTTTACGCAAGGAAATATTTTTCACCTAACAAATAATGCATTCTAAATTCGGCAATTCCATAATAACAATATTGAATTGAGTAATTTTCTTATGTACCCCCTTCCCCCTCCTGTATTATTTTAAGCAAACTAAAGGAAATGCTATAAAAATTATATTTTAAAGTTTTCATTAAAAATACTTTCTTGAATATCAGTATTTCAATGTTTAAAGAGTGGACATATTCAAACAATGATTTTATCTAAGGTGCACGGGCAAGTGTATTATCAATTTTCAATGTGAAACTCAAAGGGTTCAATTTGGAGGTTAAAAATTTCCGTCTAAATTAGAAAATAAAAAAGGCAAACATCATGGCAGCCATTTTAAAAAAGGTTGAACATATACTTACATTCTTCAATTCACGAAATTCTAAAATAGTTTTTAAAAAATCTGGTGCAAATAAGGTGAAAATTGGAAAAATTTGAGGAAAGTGCTGAAAAAATTAATAGAAACTGGGAGAAAATTTTAAGGAAAAATCTTAGTAAATTTTGGGATGGTAAGGGGAACAGTAGCAGTTTTTACTCAAGGAAATATTTTTCACATAACAAATAATGCATTCTAAATTCTGCAATTCCATAATAACAATATTGAATTAAGTAATTTTCTTATGTACCCCCTTCCCCCTCCCGTATTATTTTAAACAAACTAAGGGAAATGCTATAAAAATTATATTTTAAAGTCGTCATTAAAAATACTTTCTTGAATATCAGTATTTCAATGTTTAAAGAGTGGACATATTCAAACAATGATTTTATCTAAAGTGCACGGGCAAGTGTATTATCAATTTTCAATGTGAAACTCAAAGGGTTCAATTTGGAGGTTAAAAATTTCCGTCTAAATTAGAAAATAAAAAAAGGCAGGCATCATGGCAGCCATTTTAAAAAAGGTTGAACATATACTAACATTTTTCAATTCGCGAAATTCTAAGAGTATTAAAAAAATTTGGTGCAATAAGGTGAAAATTGGAAAAATTTATGTAAAATGCTGGAAAAATTAATAGGAACTGGGAGAAAATTTTAAAGAAAAATCTTAGTTAATTTTCGGATGGTAAGGGGAACAGTAGCAGTTTTTACGCAAGGAAATATTTTTCACCTAACAAATAATGCATTCTAAATTCGGCAATTCCATAATAACAATATTGAATTGAGTAATTTTCTTATGTACCCCCTTCCCCCTCCCGTATTACTTTAAACAAACTAAGGGAAATGCTATAAAAATTATATTTTAAAGTTGTCATTCAAAATACTTTCTTGAATATCAGTATTTCAATGTTTAAAGAGTGGAAATATTCAAAAAATGATTTTATCTAAAATGCACGGGCAAGCGTATTATCAAATTTCAATGTGAAACTCAAAGGTTTCAATTTGGAGGTTGAAGGGCGCGAAAAGATATTTCAAATTTGAAACCAAAAGTTAAAATTTGTTCATGAAGACTATACAGGCACCCAATGATTTCAAGCTAAATCCTTTTTATTTTGACATCTTTTTCCCATTTGAGCACTGAGTACATAGGGGGCATCCATAATATAAAGTAGAGAGTGTTGAGAATTTCAAAAAATAAAGTTCAGTAGACATTCACGGGTATTATTTTTGAACTTAAAAACTTCCACCCCTTATTTTAACAATTCGTAGCATCAAGACTGATCAAGCAGGTATCCTAAAACAGAGAAAGCATAACATTCAGAAAAGATGTCTTGATATAATTAAAGCCGGACCACAATTTATGCTTCCTCTTCCGAGTGTCTGCAAAAAAGGGAAATATCTAAATAAATGCAACTTTAACTCACGATACAATGTTCAAAGTCGAATGTGAGGGAACACAACATAAAAATGTAAATACCAACTTACAATCCCCGCCCCCCCCCACCCCTAAAAGTGCCAAATTAGAATGGTATAAAAATGGAAGATTTGATTTTTCTAAAAACAAATGTGACATTTGAAGCATACATTCCGTTTGATCTTCGAGGTGATAGGTAAATGACTAGTGTTATTCAATGAAGCTTCAAAAGTATGAAGTTTTTGTTTAAACGGATGAAATTTCAGAAACGTTGCTACCAAAAGTCTCAATTATAACTGCGAGCCAATTATCTAAAGTTATCTGTTGGGAAATAAAGTATCATAGGCCGGAGGTAAATCCTTATCCTCATCCGCATTTATATTATGCAACGTTGTGTCTCTGGTGGTACTGGGCAGGGAAATGTTATTAGAGGTTTCTTCATTTTCCTCAGTCTCCACCTAAAGTTTATAAACTTGAAGTACAATGCGATAATGCGGCTACTCACCGTGCGATTTGTATTGCTGGAATTTGCAAAATTTTCATCCCAACAGAATTTTTTGTACTTGCGACACAACCACAAGCTACAGATAAAAAACAGAAACACTACAAAGAGACTCGTTACCGATCCGATCACAACATTATTGGCCATCGAATTAGGAGGTGTAGTAATCTGTCGGTCACAGCCCCCTTCATCTGTACAATCAGGAAACGGGCAATTTACATAGACATCATTGAAAAAGTCCTTGTAAATACAATAATTTTTATACTGCTTACCACAATCACGATAATCTCTCATGTTACAAGCTGTAAAAATCCCATCTATCATACGCTGTAATGACACTCGCTTACTTACAAGAAAATTGTGTAAAAACCACCTCCAAATTCATTTCTTGGTGAGCTTTCAAAGGCTCCTTCGATATGTGAATTGTAACTTCAACCTTACCAAAGTGACTGATAAACGAGTTTACAGTCGGCGCTACCTCGCTAACATACACATCAGGTGCGAAAATGCGATCCATTCCCAAAGACGCAGTTAAACTGCCGCAATACTGTCTACTCGTAGACCCGTCGCCCCTTCTATACTGAATATAGTCGATACATCCTCCCGTGGAATTCTTGCGAAACACAATACTTTGTATTACAATAAACATACCCATGCTGGGATTAAAAGGTTTCACGTCAAATTTGCACACGAAATTGTCATCCCTATGCCAGGCGCTATCTTTTAGCGTGCCTAATGTAAGTACTAAACCCGAGAACGAATCGGTTTCTAATTCAACGTTACGTTCACCTAAACGAGGACATTGCTTATAATCGACTATATTAACTGAAATGGGAAAATAAATCAATTTTGGCGCAATAATTTAGGATACAACTTACTCATTTTGTATGATACAGTTAGGTGAATTAAGACAACGAAAAATATACACAATGTGCAACATTCACCATTTATTGAACTCATTTTTCACATTATTTAAATTGTTTATTACAAATATAAACCATTTTTTTCCTATTTTTAATTCAGCCTTAGATTCATTGGGAATAATTAATTACTGTTAATTAAAATAATTTTTTTTATTATTTTATTTATGTGTTAAATGAATCGTCAGAATCCTCCACGAAGTTAGGCATAGTACATAAATGTAGGAAAGTGACAGGGTGACACAACTTATTGTGATTGAATTTCACAATATCCAGAGACTTTCTATAACTAGACTGCGTATCTATATCATCGAATTTCATTAACTATAATGGCTCGAATTGGAATTTTGCGTGCAATAAACTTAAACAGGACTATAAATTTTTAAATAATATGCTGATTTTCAACGGATAAAAGTTTAAAGGGCCAATGATCAGAGCCATTCGAAGAGAAAAATTTAGGCCCATTCATATAGTGCACTTGCGGGGAATGAAGCCGATTTTAGAAAGGTACCTACGAAGGTGTTAAACAAATAATGCAATTACAACGATGTGCGTTTTCACATTATTTAAATTGACTTTCCCATTCACTTAAAATAATTTAGAACTATTATTTTATTTATGATTTTTGTTAGGTTATGTAATAAGTACTTACTGGTACTATGTAGAATTCAGGTTTCATTGCATGTATCTATTCGAGAGATTTCACAATATCACATAAAATAAAATAAAAAAATAAATTCCCAAAAATTAATTACATTGTAATATGACGAAATTTAGTAACAAAAATTGCTCTTCGGGTAATTTTAAAACTGTGTGCTTAAATGCTTGTACATCCAAGCTCGTTAACATGAACAGAGTAAAACCAGAGATGTTCAACCTCTACTGCGTATGTTCAAACTAACTGGGGTTTTAAGTTGGATGAATAAACTGCGCTAACCACGGACCTCTTTTTTTTTTAAGAGGTCCGTGGCTACTACCCACGTAAGTGGAGCAAGGTGATCCATCCCTTCCCATGTAACTTCAAAGAGAAGATTGATAATTATAGTATAATCAATAGTTACTCTTTGGTATAATGTTTTGAAGTTGGATGTCAATTCGCATTTAAAGATATTGAGGGGTTGCAAGCTATTTTAAATAAAATTTTGTATAAAAAAATTCATTGGTGCAATAAAAACCTTTTGTTAAAAGCAAGAAAATTGCATGGCCTTGGAAGGCAAATTCAACGTTTAAACTACGGTAAATTATCTCGATTTCGCGTTTTTTAGAACACAATTTTTTTCCTGGCGTACAAACTATCCGGGGAGATACTGTATGTATTGTGTAGAGCTGGCTTTACCTAGCAAACTATTGTCACGATCGTCGTTAGGCGTGTTATGAGCCACAGCAATCGATATTAAGTGACATTTGACACCGCCCTATCAATTTACTTTCAAATACAATCAATTTCTTGTGATAAGATAACATTATCAATGAATCATCAATGAACAATACAACATTTTACTGTTGTTGTGAAATTTAAACTATCAGAACCTTCGTAACCTCTTCCTTATCCTCGGAAAGTGCAACTTATGGCAGATCCGAAAATGTCTGGAAAAACAGTTATCAAAGGAAACCCCTCGCAGTATGTGAAACTAAATGTAGGCGGTTGCCTACATTACACCACCATTGGTACGTTAACGAAACACGACACTATGCTCAGAGCCATGTTTAGCGGTCGTATGGAGGTTCTATCAGATTCCGATGGTAAACAGTCGGTCTACTAAACCAGCTTTGCTATACTTAACTTTGTAGGGTGGATCTTAATAGATAGGTGTGGCAAGCATTTCGGTAATGTTTTAAATTTTCTACGTGACGGCAGTGTGTTTTTACCCGAGAGTAGTAGAGAAATCGCAGAGTTATTAGCGGAGGCAAAATATTACTGCATAGCCGAACTTGCAGATGCTTGCAACCAAGCACTTTTAAAAAAGGAGCGTGAAGCGGAACCCATTTGTAAAGTACCATTAATTACATCCCAAAAGGAGGAAGAACTGCTAATTAGTTCAACCACAAAACCTGTGATTAAATTGTTGATAAATCGACACAACAATAAATATTCTTACACCAGCACTTCTGATGATAATTTGCTCAAAAACATAGAATTATTCGATAAGCTTTCGTTATGGTATAACAACCGGGTGCTGTTTATAAAGGACGTTATAAGTACCAGTGAGATTTGCTGTTGGATTTTTTACGGGCACGGTAAAAAGGTTTCCGAGGTGTGTTGCACCTCTATAGTTTACGCGACCGATAAAAAGCACACCAAAGTGGAATGTCCCGAGGCACGCATCTACGAGGAGACTTTAAACATACTACTGTACGAAAGTCGACAAGCCCCAGATCAAGAGTTGATGCAAGCGACGTCGCGCGGACCCGTATCTGGCATGTCCTCGTACACTAGCGACGAAGAGGAGGAGAGAACCGGACTGGAAAGACTGAGATCGAATAAGTCGAGCAACCAAGGATAGCTGTTGGCCCTGTTCGAAGAACGTATGGCGGATCCTAATTTGGTCGGGGTGCATTCTTGCTACTACAAATGGAATGACGATGTATGAGGTCTATGTAAATATTTCGGTCGTATGTGCGCAAAATGAGGTGTGGTCTACTTCTCTATTAATTGTTAAATTATTATATGCCAGTATTTTACCCTCTATATCTATATGTATTTAAATTCCTTATAGGATTACTATTCGTATTGATACATTTATCAATTTTTATTAATGAATTCGGCTGTCAGAGCTCTAGGAATAATTGTAATTCCCAATTTTCATAATAAACTTTTAATATTTAAATAATAGTTTCTATTTTACTGCTAAGTGGTATTGGTATTCAAACTCTTTTGATGTACTTGATGGCCAAAGGCTAGAAACTAATTACTAACAATTACATAAATATTAGAGGTAGGATTGGGTGAGATGAAATGCAGACTGGACTGTGATCGTGATTGTTCTAGAACTCTATAAAAACATCAATTTTAAAAATTGCTTGAGATCCTGTGAAACAAACTGTAGAATTTCCTATCACACCAACTTTACCCACCTCCCTTACAATGGCATATAGGAAGGTGTAGGTGATGAGACAATATTTATTCCACACCATTTGGGCTATAATAACCTTTGGTATTATTTACATCCCTACACAAACAGTAACAATAAAGATATTTACATAAGTAGTGTCTATTGAGAATGTGTGAGCCTGTTAATAATCTCGTTCTGCTCCATTTCGATTTTTTGAAGGGAAGTAAGTTGAACCTTTAACCTTTCCAGCTCCATCGATTTTTCCGATATTAAAGCCTAAAATCGCAATGTACACAAAACCCTATAAGCCCAAATGTTCAAAAACCCAACTTGAAGTTGCTGACACTGCGCTTCCTTCTCCTTCGTCATGCTTTGCAATAAATTTCGCGCGCCGATCGCTTTCATTTTTTGCTTTTCGACTTCGTTGGCCAAATTTGTTGTTATCGATAAGAACCCGTCACTTATCTTTTGAAATTCACTGATTTCTGAAATAAGCTGAGTTTTAATATGGCTTGTAAAGTGTCGTAGTTAAACTCGCTTTCAACGTATATTTTGCATTCCTCTTTTAAATCGTTGGTTTGGTTTGATACTTCCGGTTCTAATATTCTCACTTTATCTATTTCGTCAAAGTAAATGCCCAATTTTGATAGATTATCCATTTGTACACTTTTGGTGCAATGTTTGTATTGTTATTTACAATGGTTACCATGGTAACAAGTTGGGTGTTAAAAAATCGAAGATGTCTCTGAATTCTTCATCAGTTTACACGGGTTTTCTCCGCTTCTCTAAGTACGTAAATTTTAACTCTGAACATACAAATCTCCTATGTTCAATTCTTAAATATGCAAGTCAAATACCCCCTAAGATATACAAGCAATTTTCATCTTTTTCAAATGTTTTTTTAAAATAAACGTCAATATCTGAATTATTTATTAAATTATTGGTCAATCTTTCATCTCTCGATAAATCTATTAGGAAGATAAGTACTTTTTGACACGATATATTAACAATGGTATCCATGAATTTATTCCGAGAATAAATAAGGTATTGAGAAGTGGAAAGATTATAGGTATCTAGTACGTTGGGTACGCCAAAAAAAACTGCACTTTTTGATTGGAATATGCCACTTTCTGTGGTAATAGTTAATACCAAAAGGCAACTTTTGAGCTAAGGAGCCACTCGAAAATCCGTGCAGGAAACCAAAATGGTGGCCGTCAAAATGGCGCCATTAGCCGCAATATATTTTTTTGTATCTCTGCTCCTAATAGTCGATCCGATTTTAATTTTCTTTTTTTTTATTGAAAGCTCTCGTGACGAGGAAATTTTTTTGCTATATAACATCTATCTCTAAAACTTAAGGATTTAGCACAATTTTTAAAAAGTGTTTTTTTACGAATTTGAATCACAAGTAAGCTCAACCCGATTTTTATGTGTATAACTTGTCCACGTCAAATGTTAATATGTAAGGATTTGTATTATTCAGCCCAATATTCTGACTCTTAAGGTCTGATGATGAATCGGTCTATACGATTCGAAGTCGATTAGCTAAAGAAATATTAAAATTCAATTATTTGAAAAACGAGTTTTATTGTATCAATTTGTATCAACAAATAATTCACTACGTGGTTGCTATTTAAAAACAGTGTGTCCCCTTTGACCGTGCATAAGCAGTATGCTACTGACCCGACCCCAAATTGAATGTAGGTACGTGGATGGATTAGTAGCAAACTTTTTATAATTATGGATGTCATAAAAAGCTTCTTTAAAAAATGTTTTTAAGATAAAATTTTCACCCTGTATAAAAAGCATATCCGGAAAACGATTAGCGTCGCGGTTAGCATTACGAAAAAAACCGATAACACCTACAAAAATAATTCTTTTGTTAAGGGATACCCGGGGATACCTATAAAAAATATCAAAATGTATAGGCTGCCCTCGAGAACACCCTACTTGCGTCGCGCATCATAGGGATTTCAATGTAAAATTCATAACAGGCCATTATATTGGCTCCCCAAATTATTTTAGAGCAAAAATGTATTAAGGTTTTTTATAGAGAAAAATTTTTTACGTCAATCAACCGCGCGTTAGTTTCCAATTTTTTACATAATGAAGACAGAAAATTGGAAAAATAAAACCTGCATCTTTTTCAATAATCTGTGATGCCATGGAATTTTATAATACAAAAACTACAATATCCGTCATGCCATGGAATGTCTGCTATAAAACAAATCAAATTCTATCAAAAAGTATTATATTTAGAACAGCGAATTCAACATAAAGAAAGACCAAATTACTAAAAACGGTTTGCTAATACAACAATTGACAGTAAATTTTCGAATAAGTCACCATTAGCTGCAAGACAGTAACCAAGTCGATCATAAAATCCAGCTGCTAATTGACAACTTGACATCTTTTTGTTTTAGAAAATTCCATGGCATCGCAGATTATTCAAAAAGATGCGGGTTTTATTTTCTCAATTTTCCGTCTTTACTATGTAAAAAATTGAAAACTAACACGGTTTATTGACGTAAAAAATTTTTTTCTACAAAAAACCTTCATACATTTTTGCTCTAAAATAATTTGGGGAGCCATAATTAATCGCATGTTATGAATTTTACATTGAAATCCCTATGATGCGTGACGCAAGTCACCACCCTGTATACCTAAAAATACGTTTTAGGCTTCCCCTCAGGCTTCTCGTACCAACAAACCGTTACCATTAATCTCAACCATTGAGGCTCTATCGTCCGCTTACAGAAGGTGGATTCCCTGTATAATAAAAATGATTTAACTTATATGAATAGGTATCTCGAGAGAGTAAAAGTTGATATACGAGTGTTTGTTTAATTACTTTAAAAGCAGTGTATTTTCTGTTTTTCAGAGAAAAAAATTGACGAGGCTTTTCATTTCAATTTTCATAATGCTTGATCTCGTGCCTGATGAAACAAATAGCTGTATTGCGCATTTTTTCAAAAAAAAATATGGCGGATTGAAATTTTCCGAACTTGCAGGGTAGATACAAGGAGTTTTGGGGTTGTATCGATTGAATTTCTAAACGATGGCCTTTTTTGTCGAAAAGACCGGGATATTGCTCAATTAAGAGCTTACTTGTGATTCAAATTCGTAAAAAAACACTTTTTTAAAATTGTGCTAAATCCTTAAGTTTTAGAGATAAATGTTATATAACATAAAAGTTTCCTCGTCACAAGAGCTTTCAATCAAAATAGCATGGCATGGATTGCTATATATCTGTAGTGGTAATGTTTTGTGAGTTAGTTTTAGCATTGTATATTTTACATACCTACATGATACCTTAGTGTAAAGAATAGAACTTACACTATGATGATATACTTATAATGGTTTTAGGTAGTATCTCTGAATCGAATTAAGTTCATATGGTCGTACCTATGGATTCATCATGGACCAAAACTACAACGGAATGCTGTGTGACGAATCAAAAATTGCCCATGGATTTGTCATGAGTTGCACCCAGTAAAATATTTATTCCCTGTATATGGTGCTAACGACAGCACTAGATATAGCTTATTGTTAGTAGTTTACTACTGCGAAGATGCACAACAAGAGTAGGTACACAACATGTTATAAGTACATACCTATGGTTGGAAACAAAATAACAATGGTCGTAGTATTATTAAATTTATATAACCAAATTTGATGGTAGTACAATGGTTGAAAAATTGCCAATGGGGAAAAGTACCTAGATGAATGTGGATGAAATGATTTATTCCCTTCGCGTAAGGATAATCCGTATCACACAAAATAGTATAACTAACGGACCTATAAGTAGGACCTGGACCACCAGCAGATATCTCTCCCGGTAGCCCATAATAAAGCAGTGCACCTCTGCCTAAGGAATTATACATACGCTACCTGACGAAGACCTGGGTGCGTTGCAAAAGTATGGCGCATTATTGTGCGTTTCTAATTTCAATTTGCGAATTCTTCAAGCAAAGCGAGTACCTAACTAATAATATAATTACGATACATTTCATCAATGTTCGATTCAAATGTTTAAAATTCGAATTGCTCCCGCCATATTAAAAACAGGAAGTAAACTTTTGCCGCCAGATCGCAGCGCCATCAGCGGATAAATAATTAGTCAATTCAGCATGGACGCAAGTTAACATCATCGTTACCGGCATCGTGTGTTCATCAAATTTGTAAATCTGAACGAAATTTCCATTTTATATCGATACCATTTCATTAAAATTATGGGTTCGTACTTAGCAAAACCCATTACGGAAAAAATCTCAACCGATGAAGAAAATCACAGGTTAAAAATTGGTGCAAGTTCTATGCAAGGTTGGCGCGTTAGTCAGGAGGTAATTTCGTCTTCAACGGTTGCATTTTTAACGAAGCCTTTCTTTTAGGACGCTCACAATTGCCTTTTAGACTTCGACGTAAACACAGCCCTGTTCGCAGTGTACGATGGGCACGGAGGTCACGAAGTGGCCCACTACTGCGCTCAGAAACTACCAGACTTCATCAAGAGCTGTGAACCGTATAAAAGTAACGATCTGGAAAAGGCACTCGAAGAGTCATTTCTCGGTTTCGACGCTACAATCGAGACACCGAAAGTCATTACCCAGCTGAAAGAAATCGCGGGCGCCAAAGAAACTCAGAATGAGTCCGATAATAGTGACGTCGAAGAAAACGTCAGTAATTTGTATGAGGAGGCCACAATGCCCTTGGAGCAGGTGATAGAAAAGTATACGTCGAATTTAAAACACCCGCACATGCTCAACTTACAAAAAGACGACGACAAACAACCGGTTTCACCTTATCTTCGGGCGAAAAAGGATGGTCCATCAGTAAATGAGCCTTCGAGTTCTGGAGAAGGGATTGGTACCAGTTCGGGTAGCTCGCAAAGCGTGGTTAACCATAAGACCGAGGAAGTGCAAGGTTTGTTTCTTTTTATTTACACGCAAAATTAAAGTCGGGTTTTAGACGAAACTAAAGTGGAGAAATCAAGTGATGCCAAGGAGGAAAAACCTGTACAAAATGGTGAAACCGTTGTCCCGGCGGTGGAGAATAATGTCGATGGTCATCAGGAGAATGGGGAAATTGTTAAGAAGGGTAAGGGAAAGGCGCTGGCAAAGACTAAAGGTGTTCCCATGCCGTCTCCCATTAAAACACGACCTAAACGCAACGCACAGCAGCTTTACAGTACCCTGTTGAAGTTTGAATCGGAGAGCGAGTCTGAGGATGAAGAGGACAAAACCTTCCAAGGGCCTAATGGTAAATGACGCCCACTTTTGCTAACATAACCTCACAAATATGCTTGTAGACAATAGCGGATCCGACGATGAAGACAACAAACTGGATGAAGGCGATAATTCGAGTTCCGAATTGGGCGAAGAGGAGACAGACGAGCTGGAGGAGGAAGATATTGAGGAGGAAGAGGAGGGTGATTGTGATTCTATGGATGAGACCGATTTAGAGTTTGCCAGAAATATGCGAGAAGAGCCTGGATCTGATAGCGGATGTACGGCGGTTGTTGCGTTGTTGAGAGAGAATCAGCTGTACGTCGCAAACGCGGGCGATTCGCGGTGCATTGTATGCAGAAATGGTAAGCTTTTGTTTGGTTTTTTTGCGATTGACGAAGTTATTAGAGATCAATCTATTTTGGATCTTTTTATTTGGGAAAAATCTCCTCTATTACTCATTTTTGTTACATACCCAAAATGTGAAGGGGGGAGGGGGGTCTTTTATTCCTAATTGACATTTCTAACATACTGAAAAGTAGGGTTGAATCATATTATTTTTTTGCTTCCTGGTGCTTGGGGGGAGAGCAAAGTGAACAAGTGATTGTCAAGCTTTTTTCTCGTTTAGGTAAAGCGGTCGACATGAGTTTGGATCACAAACCAGAAGACGACCTTGAGACTCAAAGAATCCTGAAGGCCGGCGGACGAGTAACGCACGACGGTCGCGTGAACGGCGGCCTCAATCTCTCGCGCGCCATCGGCGATCACGCCTACAAGCAAAACAAGGAGTTGTCGGATCGCGAGCAAATGATCACCGCACTGCCGGACGTAAAAACGTTAACTATTAATCCGGGGGAGGACGAATTTATGGTGCTCGCGTGCGACGGAATTTGGAACTTTATGTCTAGTCAGCAGGTCGTCGATTTCGTCAAGTCAAAGTTGGAGAGCTCGCCGGGAAAGCTTTCCAAAATTTGTGAGGAGGTGAGCATCAAGGCTTGGGATGGTTTGTTTGAAAAAAACTTTTATTTTGCAATGTTTCAGATGTTTGATTATTGCTTGGCACCGGACACAATGTGCGATGGAACTGGCTGTGATAACATGACGGCTATCATCGTTCAGTTTAAAAGTAGTGTGTGTAAAAGGGCAGCGACCGACGATGAGGAGACAGAAAGTGTGAAACGTGCCAAGACTGATCATACGGAAGCTACTGTATAAATTTGTAAAAAAAACTGCTAGTTATTTTTAAGGGTATTATTTTCTTTCGTCTGGCAACAGATAACTTTTAAATGAAAAACATCATCCATCGTGTTAGTATTTTGTAGTTAGTTTTTAAATCGTGGTACAATAGTTCAAGGAGAAATATCGATTAATGTCACGTTTGTTTCAGTGACTATTGCAAATGCCACAGTAATAGGTGCCTTTTATATTTCAACAATCTGTGGTGGCTGTAAATAAACTGTAATTTTTTTATATTTATCCAAAAATGCTGTAACTTTGCTTAGTATATTTATAAGGTTTATTCTAAGAAAACCGTCACACTTATCTTTGTTCTTTTATGTTACGAAAAGTTAAATTTGTTTTCTCCCATGCTGTTGCTAGAGTTTAGGTATTGACATGAATGTATACATAAGTTCATTTCATCTCATATTCCTCACATCATAGTATTTTTATTACACATTTACAATAAATTATTTACGTAAAATGTCATTGTTTTTAAATTACCTTTCAGAGCTAGGCAGAATACTTTCAAAAAGTATTTGAATACTAAATAGTAAATACTTTACACAAATCAAAGGTATTTGATTACTAAATACTTTTACGTCCAGCACAAGCGAATACTAGATACAGATACATTGAAAAGTATTCAAATTCTTTAAAAAATAAGTATTCAAATACTTTAGAACTTTGAATATAGACTACTATAATCAAAGCTTTAGAATGTATTCGAATACTTTCAAAAGTAAGCAAAAAAATTGTCTCAGATCGACCCGGAAAAAAATTTTCTTATAGAATGAGGCCTGTAGAATCCATAATTTCAAACAGTTCCAAGATTGGGCTACTAGTTCAAAAGTTACAGCCCTTTGAATTTTCTTTCGAAATTGATTAGTCTATAACTTTTGATTGAGAAGTCTGATCGAAAAAGTACGAATTGTTTTGGATTCTACGCACCAAAATTAATAAGAAAAAGTGTTTTCCCGAGAAATTTTGGTGTAGTCGATTTTTGGTAAAAAAGGAAGGTTATACACTGCCTTTTTTTGAGGCTCGCAAAAAAAACTTGTCTCAGATCGGCCCGGAAAAAAAATTTTCTTATAGAATGTGGCCTGTAGAATCCATAATTTCAAACAGTTCCAAGATTGGGCTACTAGTTCAAAAGTTACAGCCCTTTGAATTTTCTTTCGAAATTGGTTTCTAGTCTATAACTTTTGATTGAAAAGTCTAATCGAAAAAGTACGAATTGTTTTGGATTCTACGCACCAAAATGAATACGAAAAAGTGTTTTCCCGAGAAATTTTGGTGTAGTCGATTTTTGGGAAAAAAGGAACGTTATACACTGCCTTTTTTTTGAGGCCCCGAGAAAAATTGTCTCGGATCGACCGGAAAAAAACATTTCCTTATAGAATATGGCTTGTAGATTCCATAATTTCAAACAGTTCCAAGATTGGGCTACTATTTATCTACTATCTACTTATCTTGTTTCTCATTACGATTTCCCTACCATAAACTAGCGGACTACATACATTTGTGTCAATGTTGTGATTGCTTATAAAATAAAATCCAATTTAATTAAGGAAGTCAGATCTATCTACTTATCTTGTTTCTCATTACGATTTCCCTACCATAAACTAGCGGACTACATACATTATTTGTGTCAATGTTGTGATTGCTTATATAAAATAAAATCCAATTTAATTAAGGAAGTCAGATTTAAACAAACAAAAATTCGGAGAAAATAAAGAAACATGTAAAAATTAGCATCAGTATTTCTCAAATTCGTATTCGTAAGTTCATGTACCCCGCATATTCCCTTCAACTTTCCCTTAAGCTCTCAAATACTCCCCCTATAGTATCTCTGAACCTCTCCCAAGTTGTTCTCAAGTTTTTCATTAGCTTCCCCCAAATTTCTCTCAGAGTACCCACCAACTATCCTTCAAACTTCCTCATAGGCTGCATTCAAAGCTGTTCAAGTTGTTCTCAAGTCACCCTCAAGTTCCTTTTATTAAGCTTCCTTCATGTTCTCATCACATTCTTCCGAGGTTCCTCTGGCCTTCATTTTAAGTTGTTCTCTATTTCTTCTCAGGTTCTTCTAAAATTCCCACATTATCTTTTATCTATCCATGTTCTAATTTCCTAAATTTCTCTAAAAGTCGTTATTGCTTTCATGTTGATTTGAAACTTGAAAGTTTGAATCAATTTCTAAGATTCCCATCTAGAACTGGAATACGATTTCAGTTAGATGTTCGTTAAATTTCCTCTTCCAAAAAAAAACGCCTATATAGTTACTCATCGTCCAAATAACAGGCTATATAATGAGCAAGTTCCAGTAAAAAATACCTTTGAGTTTGTTCTGTTCGTGTTTCATTCAGAAAGGTTACACGAAAACGGTTTGCTGGGAGGTAAATGACATTACTCCCCAGTCTCTATGCAAGGTTATACAATTAAACGTGTTCATGACCTCAGTACTCACTGAAAATAAAAATAAACCGATACACCTGACCTTAATTCATTTTTTACTACCTATCTTTTTTTTCGGTTTATCGATTTGCTACCTACTCAACCCTGGCGCATTAAAAACAAGTGGATTGGAGAAAATGGAAAGAAAAAGAAACGCGAGCCACACAAAACTATCAACACGATTCTTGGAATTTACGTGTATATGACGACATGTTGTACACGTCACGCTTACGCCTACGCTCGTAAAACCCACGCAAAAATCGATAGTGTCATACCTTGCGTCGCAACGGTGAAATATTAAGTCGCTAAGTTTTCTAGTTGAAAATGCAATAGCTGCATAATATCTAGATTTGAGATATACCCGATTTGTACAAGCACTTTGAATAGGCCCTTTGGTTACAGTTTGCGCTAATGATATTCTGATGTTTCCACGTTGAGAGAAATTGAAGCATTTCCCTGAGTGAAAGCCTCAACATGGGCGACTAACAGAACAAAAGGATATTAATAGATAGGTATCCAAAATGACTCTGTGATCAAACATTACATCTGATTTTCGATTAGTTTCTTCAACTGACTAATAAGTACATTAATACTTAGTAGGTTTTAGGTAGGTATAGCTAGTTACCAAAAGGCAAAAAGTAAGTTTCCCCGACTCTTAACCGAATTTGTGACAGAAACATGAGAAATAATCCAAAACATTTTCCAGCCCTCGATTACGAGATTATTTTCTCAACCACAACCAATCACAATTAATGAAATGCCCTTTCAACGGAAAACTGCACGCTTCGCCACAACATCAGTATCGGAAAGTTTGTGCCGTAAACGATTTTCGTTCTTTCTATTGCGAGCCAAAAAGGAAAATGAAAGACTTTTAACCTAATAAAACCAATCAAATTTCCTCCTCTTTAAATCTTCAGCTTTCCAACCCCAATTTCGTATGGTATTCGAGAAAAAGTGACATTTCGTACCTACATAGGTACACTTATTGCCCTCAATAGAACGAAAAGCTCATCTCCTAACTCAGAAATGTCTACTACAAATTCTGAATTTGGAACATGCAAAACAAAATTTGATATTATAACAAGCTTAATCAAGTCGCGTCTCCTCGTAATTACAAAATTATTACGCATATTGTATAATGAATAATGCAGTAATCAAAGAGAAGCGTTGCGCCTTTTTTTTACAATTTTGTTAGGACGATGGCGCAAATCGCATTACGAATTTACTTTCTGTTTTTTTAATACCGGAATATGAGCTTAAACGAGCAATTCGTGCACGTTCAATCCTTGTTAGAACAAGCGAAATTGCTTTGCATATATACTTGCAGTTCGATACTAAGATTGTATGCACGTGCGCAATTTCTTTGAAATATTGTAGCCAAATATAATTTTAGGGTACAGAAAGTGAGAATAAGTAGCTTTGCGTGCTTGGAAAAGGGAAATTACGTGATATTCATGTAATATTAAACAGTAAATTTGGTGGATTCTGAAAATATGATTAGCTGCATATCGTATTACATCATATACAACAAAATCAAGGGAATCCTCTCAATTTAAAATTTTTTGTAAGCACTTTAACTCATTCTCGCTCTATTAAGTTTCCAATTCAATCACGCTGCACTTTGGAGTCCCAGGAGTCTAAGTGCAAAAGCGCCGTCACCTTGTTTTAATCAATTTTTCTACCCTCTGCGAACTGAAAAAGTCTTATAAGTCGTTTGCATAGCGAGCCAAAGGGATTACTGCTCTATTTCGCAGGAATGTCGGGTTTCTAATACTCATTTTTTATAAATTCATTTTTAAAACTCGATTTGTATGTAGGTATGTTCAAAGTTTCAAACAACAGGCGCTTATTCTGAGAACATTCAAATTTCAACTTGTAATAACTGCGCAAAACGGTAAAAAACACAAAACGTTGCATTATATTAAGTAATTACAGCCTCCATCAGGTATAACTGCTTGTTTATAATTAGCGAATGTAGTAATATAACGGCAGTAGGTATTAAGACCTATTTAAGAGTTCCTTTCATCAAGCAGCACTCAATTTGCAATAAACTACTGATGTATTTTTCAAAAATAGTTATTTATACAAGACGATAAAGGGATATGATGTTAATTCACGAGATGGTTAGTTTCCCTTCATCGTCGTGCATAATACAAAACTTTATTTTATAGCTCTAAACCCATTCTAGCTTTTCCATATGAAAATCCCAGTTTTTGCAGGTTTTTTGACACTGGACAATAAATCGGAAATTTCAGATGTCTTGTATGTAAAAAATGAGACCGAATGAAAAAATATTGCGTTATTCATAACGATATATTTGACATTCTGGGATATCTCGGCTATTCCACTAGGGAGGCCGTGGGACTTTTTTGAGTGTCATCCTGGAAGGTGCCCGAACATATTCCAAAAGGTTCCGCTTATTATATTATATTATATATCCAATTTTACTATAGTATCTGCTACACAAATTCTTACGCAGACGCAGACATCAATAGGCTTTCACTATTTCGTGGAAACTAACCATCAGACAGAGTTAATGGTGACATGAAAAATTAATTAAGAAATGTATGTCCTCTGAAGGGATTTAAGTGATCTGTCTTTAACTCAAACTATTAAAATTATTTTATTCTCAACGGCTCTGTTAAATATTTTATGTAATGAAATAATTTATACCATAACTAGCTTAGTAATCTATAAATTATTGATCACTTAGATTGATGTACTTCATAAATTCTCATAAATCGATCTCTTCAGGAATGATAGAATAACTTTAAGTGCAAATTTCTTATATAAAATTCCTAAAAACGGGCGACTTTGTTTTTATAGAATGCAAAACATTCAACTAAGGTTAGCAGAAATTTCGAAAATTGGATGGTCGAACGCCTTTATTTAGTGACTCGTTGAAAGTGAGTCTCGAAAAATTGTTGAAGAAATCGGTACAACCATACTTGAGGTTTCTCACCATTGCTTAGTTATTATTTAGTTTATTTATGGGAAAAATTACCAATGTT